CCCCATGAAACAACAAAAACGTAAACAAAAATCAAAACAAAAAGCAAAGCCAAAACAAAAGCCCAGAACCAAAAGACCAGCAATAAAAAAGAACAAAGAGATAAATAGCCATGTCATAAAAAAGGTAATAGTAATAATATGTTTCACGTTGAATGTTCAAACCATTCCTTTTTATATACAGAGGGAACCTGATATAACAGGGATGGTGGGACCATAGAAAAAGTCCTGTTATACCCGATCCCTGTTAAATAAAAAATGCAAGGGAAGTAAGCATTTGTGGACTAATCTAGTCATATTTATTCATGGGTAGTTTCCCTTGCCACAAGTACCCACGAACAGGGATTTTGGACATGTGGCAGGCCTGCACATGACACATTACGCGTGCATGTAGCTAGGCTTGCGGCTTGATCGAAGTCTGCAGCACACCGCAGCCCTCCCTCACTTCACCCGCTGCATGTGCTCACAGTGGCGTGGCTTGCGTGGGTTTGATCCATCACTGCGCTCTCTCTCTCTCTCTCTCTCTCTCTCTCTCTCTCTCTCTCTCTGTCTCTCTCTCTCTCTCTCTCTTTCTTACTTACTTTTTAGACATTGTTAACGAGCCTTTGTCTCTGCTATAACCGATTGGACTCCAATGAGGCCCTGTTATTACCGAGCTTTTAATAGAGACAAAGAGTAGGAAGAAACGGGGGTTTGAAAAATCCCTGTTATTGCCGGATCCCTGTTATTACCGGGCCTGTTATATTGTGTTTCCACTGCACGTTCCAAGTAGAGCAACAATTTCATAACATCGTCTTTATTAACTTTCAAGGTGAGTGTCAAAGTGCAAGTCGAGGCTGAGATTCCGCTGATAAGTATTTTCCTGAAACAAGTATAGTCGTGGGCAATGTTTCTAAGCTTCACCGCATTTATTTTGCTTTGTTCTGTTTTATTTTCATTTCCGTTTTCATTTACTATGATAATACGAGTAATATAATATGGCACCTTGTTCTCTCATGACAGAGTAGGCCTAACATTTTCTTCTCTACTTGGAAAACCATGCGCGGATACACGAATTGACTCCACCGTTGTGATTATTTTCATTTAATAAAGCTGAACAGGTCAAGTTGATCGATTCGTGGAATCGATAATCTTCTTGAGACTTTCACTCATGTTGTTCTCGCTCATTCATTCATTATTGATCTGAGCACGCGAAACTGATTCTGATATGGGACGGAAACTGCAGATGGAGTTCATTCGTGTGTGTTGTTTTTTTTATGTGTTTGTTTGTTTTTGTTTGTTTGTTTATTTGTTTATCAGTCTAAATTTTGTAACATATGTTTTGTTTGCTTGTTGATGTTACATGTACTACTCTTGCTATTGCTATTCTTAGGAGGAGGAGGAGGAGGAGGAGGAGTGAAAAGAGGGTGGGGGTATAAAGGGTGAAAAGGAGGGGTTTGGG